ATACAATTCAGTTTAAAAATTTTTAAACTTATTACTATTATAGTTAGAATACTTTATTTGAACCCAAATATTTTTAAAATTATTATTTTAAAATAAAAAATATACAATTCAGGTTAAAGTTTTTAAAAAACAGTAAATTTTAAATTTTATATTTGTAACTAAGTAGCAGCAAGTATTTTTATTAAAAATTAAATTCAATTTATTATTGTTATACTGCATAATAATAATTATATATATAAAAGGTTATATAGAATTTATAAATATATTTTTTTGAAGAAATTTTTATATTTTATAATTTTGATTTGAAATTAAATACTTCTTGGTAATAAATTTTTAAACTTTGAATTCTATATAAATTTGTTGGTTGCAATATACAAATAAAATTTCTTAAATTGTTGTATTATAGAATATGCTTGAAATAATATTTGCTATTTGAATAAAAAATATTAGATTTGAAAAACTATTTAAAAAAAATTTTTATTATAATAAATTTGTTTTGTAAATTTAAACCTTGATAGAAACTTTTTATAAAAAATATAACAGAAAGTTGATTTTAAGAAGTTTTTAAACTAATATTAGAATTAATTATATTCTAAGTTAGTTAGAACTAATTTTGCACTCTATTCTTTACTTATAGCTAGTATTATTAATACTTTATAATCATTAATACTAATATTATTTAATTATTATACAAGTATTTTATGACCTACTTAATTAGTAATTTTATACTTTTCACAACTAATACCAGTTTTTCAATAAGCACTTTTATGAATATTTTTAATTTTTAATTGTCTAAGTTGAGTTTTTTGTACTGTATAACCGCAAAATAACGCACAGGAGCATTATTTCGATGTTTGGCCTGAATTAAGCTTAATTTAGGCCAAAAATTGAAATTACACCCCTGCGCATTATTTCACGGTTATACGGTACTACACTTTAACTAATAAATAATCTATATTATTAATAACTATATATACAATAATGAATTATATATTATATAATATAGTATATATATATAAGTATATACTAGCAGATTTTGTATTAATTGAATGCAAATAAAATTCAAAATTAACATCAACTGATTACTTTAAGAAATATTTCTTATAATTTGTAGTTATCATAAGATTGTTAGCAAAAATTAATATTTCATTAGCAGAATTAAAATTATTCAATCCATAATTGGTTTGTTTTGAATTTATAGATAAAAATATCAAAACTACTATTTTTTTTTATAAAATTAATTAACTATCATAGTATAGTGCTTACCACTATATAGAGCTAAAAGGATTGTATTATAATAAAAAAACTCTGATTTAATAATATATTTGATATATCTATTGATATTGCCTTATATTGTAAAATATATTAAATTTTTTCAAAATATAACGAATTGGATCTATTAGTTTCAAATAACCTTTTTCAGAAAGGCTATTGATTTTCCCATTAAGTCTGTACTTTTTATAAACAAGGAAATGCTTTTTTGTCATAAGTTAACAGGATTGATTTTACTAATATTTGAATTGTAAAATCTATTAATTGTTTTAATTACAAATAAAAGTAATAATACTGTGTATTCTAATTTATTACATTTTTTAGTCATAGTAAAATATTTACAAAGTTGTATTTCTAATTTAAAAGTATTATCTATAATTTCTAGTGCTTCTTCTAGTCCAATGTCTGAACAATATTCTTGAAATTTATTAATTAAATTTTGTGTCAATTTTGAACTTTAAACTTGCTATGCAAATATAATAATTGCTCTTTGGTTGGTTTTTGATTTGATTTCTATTTTTTTTAATTTTGGTCATTTTGAAATTAAATTGAAATCTAGAAATGAAAACCTGATCAAAAAAATATTTTATTTAAATAATAAAATAAACTATTGATATGACTTAATAGTATAATTATCAATAATTTCTATACGATAATACCGTTATTAGTATAGATAATAAAAAAAATATGCATGTGGGTGTTGAACGATGGCAGTGATTGGCAGATCATGCTGCGAAGCGGCATGATCTAAGCCAATTACCTGCCGCCATTCAACACCCACATGCATATTTTTTTATTACCTATTCAATAACTATATAATTGTTACCATGGCTAAAATCTTAATACGTAGCTCCAAAACCAGATAATTGCATTGTATCGAATTATCTGAATATGAAGTTTTTTTATTTAATTTCAATATTACTTAAATGCAAGCTTCTATTGTTCAATAGAAATTAGATCTACAGTCAACCCTCTCTAATTGCAATTCGTTGGGACCAAACTTTTGGTAGCATAACAAATTTAGAGAACAATTTAAAAAAAATCGCATTTATAGAGAATTTAAATAGACCAAATTATAAATGGACCCGAAATTAATGTTGCATTTTGAGTGAAGCTGCACTTAGAGAGAGTTAACTGTATATAAATTTGTACCTATACTTCTAATGATCAATTTTTGAATACCCGCTTAAAAATAACCTATGCACATATTTGTCAATTCTTTTGGCGCATTTCTGATTTAAACGTATTTATATCTATTTAGTAATAAAAATCTCATAGTTATCCCTACTTTTATACCAAGAGTTGATTTACGCTGTTCTAATACATCGTTCTATTTAATACTAATTCTGCAAAATGATTCAAGACAGTGTATTCATTTAGTATTTTAGATTTAATTGTAAATAAATGTCTTATGAATATTATTTTAAATTTCAAAGCCTTTTCATAATAAAATTCCAGGCCGTTCATTCCATTAATATTTTCGTTTCTGCGGATTTTCGATAACAAATAAATGCTTTATACTCGTCAATTTCAACTCCAACTCCATCTAGATAACAATTTCCAAGATTGGTCATTCCATTAACACCTCCCATATCTGCAGATTTTTGATAACAAATAAATGCCTTGTGTTTATCAACTTCAACTCCAATTCCATCTATATAACAATTTCCAAGATTGGTCATTCCATTAACACCTCCCATATCTGCAGATTTTTGATAACAAATAAATGCCTTGTGTTTATCAACTTCAACTCCAATTCCATCTATATAACAATTTCCAAGATTGGTCATTCCATTAATACCTCCCAAATCCGCAGATTTTTTATAATAAATAAATGCCTTATGCTCATCCTTTTCAACACCAATTCCATAGTGATAACAATATCCAACATTATTAATTCCATCAACGCTTCCCATTTCTGCAGATTTCTGATAATTAATGAAAGCCTTATTTTCATCTTTTTCAATTCCAATTCCATAATGATAACAATATCCAAGATCGTTCATTCCAATGGAATTTCCAAAATCAGCAGATTTTTGATAATAAATGAATGCTTTATTTAAATCCCTTTCAACACCAATACCTTTTTCATAACAATATCCAAGACCAGAAATTCCATATGAATCATTCATTTTAGAAGATTTGTGATAATAAATTAATGCTTTTTGATTATCTTTATCAACACCGAATCCATTACTATAACAAGTTCCAAGATTATACATTCCAATAGAATTACCTAATTCAACCGATTTTTGAAAATGAATAAATGCTTGTTTATTGTCTTTTTTAATCCATTTACCATAGAAATAGCTATATCCCAAAATATTTTGAATTATAGAATTTTTTTGAATAATAGGATTTGATTTGTTATTTAAGCACAAGTTGATTATTTCTTTTGGCCTTTGTTGCTTGTTTATCATAAATTGATCTATTAAGTTAAGAAGGGAAGTTGCGCCTTTCATAATTCCTTGATTATGTATATCACATAATTCTTTTATTACTTTATTTAAGTCGTTATTATGCATTCGTTCCGAAGTATTATGAGCTTGATCCTCGTAATCATGAATAGTGCTTTTAGTTATCCGTTCTTCTGATGGATTATTGTAAACACTTGGTAAGCTTTCTTCGTTTAACATGATTGACAAAAAATTTTTTAAGATATATAAATAAGTTCCGTAAAATACAGTATATCGGAGTTTAGTTCCGAATCGTAGCACACTTTGTTCAATTAACTAGAGATTATATTTTGATTTAGTAAATTCAAATTTATTTGAATACGTATTTGAACATTTCGAGTATTCCTAAATTTCGAATAAGTGAAAACAAAGTAATCAGATAAGTGATAAATGATTTTTTTCAGGTATACGTTTACTCGTATTACAAACTTGGCTTCTAAATTCGTCATAATCACGCGGTAATCCGTTATTCTAACCTCATCGCTAATAATCGTTTTGTTAACATTTTGTAAGTTTTGTATAACTATCCTTTACCATATTTTTATGCGTTGTGATCATTTTTTTCCATTATAAAAAATTGCTAACCAATTTTCATGCGCTGTGCTACTATTTTACAGGGATCGACATTGAAATTTTCTCGCAAAAAATTCAAGGAAATTTTTTAATCCCGCCATTTATATGAATGATAGGTACTGCGCTAGATACCATATACGTATAAAGTAGCTGTGTGCGCTGTCGTACTAAAACCAAGAACGTAGTCAAAAATCTTTTATATACACTAATATGTAATTTTTAGGGACCAATTTGACAAAAATATAATAATTACTTTACAGAAACCTATGTTTTTTACTAAATATGTTTACGTTCTATCTATTATATAAGACTCTTTTGGGTTTTATTAAAAAAGATTCCTTGTTCAATTTTATATCTAATATTTTCTATTTTAGGCTGTTAATATTCAAGGTTAAGTTTTTTTTTAAAAAAAAAGGTAAAGAGGTTCACTCGAGTGATGAATAATTTATTTCTAATATAATATAAATAAGTTTCTTACAAGAAAGTTAACAGAGCTTACTAAGACTTATTATCATATGCTAGACATATTCTGTTTATATTTTTAAAAAATCAAAGTTTCTGTAAAGTATAAAGACCCAATTTTTCTGATGGTTATCTAATTATAATTTTATAGAATTACAAGAGTAAATAGTGTGCCACATGTACAAAGTAATAGCGCAAAAATTTTCTTTACTACTTGTAATGAAATACTTAAAATATTTATCTTTCTTCAGGAGTTGAATCCATGTTAACAGAAGTTAAAAATGAAGTATCAATAACATATTCTCCATAGAATTTAATAAAACTTTCCAAACGTTCAACTCTCTTTTCTAAATCATAATCCTGTCGTTTTTGTGCCAAGGAAATCTCATGTTCTTCATTATTAAGCTTTTCTTTTTTATCGGATAAATCTAATGTAGTTGTTATAATGTCTTTTTGATACTGATCTTTAAATGGCTTCGATCTTTGTACAAAACCCCATGGAGAAATTAAACCGAGTCCTAAAGTTTTTTTTTTGAAAAAAATAATTGATGAGTAAATTATTATTGTAATTTTATTTAAAGCGCTCAGCTTACCAAATAAAAATATATAAAAAGCAGTCAAAGCACTCCAAATACCACCAATAATTCCTAGCAGGCTCAAAACCTATTTATCCAAAATAATGATAAGTAATAGTTGAGCTTTAAAAAAGTTAATACATAAAGTATAAATACTTACAGTTCTATTCCTATTATTATCATTATTTATAAAATTATTAATAATAATCACGTATTATAAAATTAATTCATTTAAAAAATCACTCTACCTTTGTTCTGTTTCAATTTTTACAATAGGATTAGGAGAAGGAATAAATCGTAGGTTTGTATAATAAGTTCCATTTTTTTCTATTATTGTTTAATCAACAAACATATTTTAGAAAATTAAAAGATAATAATAATAATAAATTAAACTATTGTAATAGAAATATTTTTACGAAAAACAGCCAGATTATAAGATGAAGCCGAAAAAGTAATGGTCTCTATAATTAATAACATTATTAATTTTGATAATTTTTAAAGTATAAGAGTTCAAGATTCAATATAAGCATTCTTACGCATGTTTGATTCGATATAAGGTTGTCTAATATAGTTTTGTTTGCCAAAGTAACTTAAAAAGTTTTTGATTATACTATATTTAATAGTCCTAGTGAATTTCCAATAATATATCTTCAAATTTATAAAATTTATAATTATTGTTTTTTTTAGATATGCAAATTTATCAAATTCATAAACTTCCCAAATAAATGAAGTATACATACAATTCTATCCTCTGTAGGTTGTGATAAAAAATATTCATTTTTATCAGAAAGAGATTGTTCAAATGGAGTTGGAGTACCACTAAAATCTCCACTATAAATATCAAATTCTAAATTATTTATTTATTTAATAATTCTGTATTAGCTATTATTATTTAACGAGATCTGTCATATATTTTCTAAAAACTTACCTCTATCAAATGCGAACATCACCATAGAGTTACTTAGGTTGGAAGCGTTATATCCAGGGTCAGTGATATAGAAAAAAAGGTCAAATTGAGTGCTACCAGTAGCCGAAGTTACATTGTAATTTGATGAGAACCCTCCAAAATAAGGAGCACTCCCACTTATTGCGACAGAATCACCACAATCACTACCAGCTACAATAGAATAATTTGAATTAAGTACTGTATGTCATACACATGATTGAAGTAATTATGAAAAAAAAAATACACACCTTGAGTAGTTAAGTCATTAATAAAAGCACAGTAGATAGTAAAATTATAAGTATGAGAAAAATAGATATCTATTATATTGATTAAGATTTTTACATTTTATATCAAATTTATTTAAGGTTATTATTAAATAAAAATAAGTTTTTTTTACTTGGTAAGGGCAGACTATCAGCTTCGGTATAGGTCGTTCTAATGCTAGGCTGCTCTTCAATCACTTCAACACATAATATTATAAATATAGCAATTAATAATGCTATAGCTATACCTACAATAAAAATCCGAAAAATTTTAACCGATTTTGGCTCATTTATTTGTTTACTTCGGAATAAATCAATAATCATTTTTTTCTCAATTTATCGTTAAATGATTTTATTATTGCAAGAGTGAAAAAATTCACAGCTCTCTTAATATTCTAATCTCTATGTACTTGCGAGATTTGAACTGAAAATATCATGACTTTTGCCAATGTTTAACACAGAAACTTTCTCCTTCTCTGCCTACGAAAATTTATTATCAAACGATCTCTGAACGGTTTATTTTCGATAAATTTTTGATTATCTAAAAATGCTTCGAAGAGTTTTTGTTAGCAAATATCCCATATATGATTGATAATCATTTGATGGGGCTCAGCCAATTAAAATTTTTACCATTATGGCTTTTCTTCAATTTGAGAAAATCAAGTTTATAATTTGTATAGCCATTGATCGAGGCGTCGGTTAGCATATAAATTGATACTTAAATTATATAGAAGAATATAGTACTGTACCTGCTTTATATTATGGTTTGATTACTTTAATTCGTGAAAAAAAAAGCTTTAAGCCATATTTTATTTACCGATTCCCAGTTTACGTATACAAATCAGCCTGATAAAGTAAAAAAAGCGCGGCAAATACAAAAATGAATGATTACTATTTTAGGGATAATTTTGCCAGAGTTCATTAGCATTAACCTATTTTAGTCATAAACTGACTCTAATCTAATATTTTAATTTAATTTTTCGCGATCTATCTACCGTACAGCGTGACCAAAAGACGCCTTTTTATAATACCCTTCACAACTTTTAGAGGCCTAAAATAAATATTAAATCGATAATTATAATTTAAATTCCAATGACAGGTTTTGCGACACTTATACGTATAGTACAACCTATATCTACTGCGCAACTAAAATAGTTCTCTGACTATATACCTATATACGTAAATAACTTGTAAAGTACCCTGGATATTTTAGTCCATGCTGTACTGTAGCTATATTAAACATCCACCTATATAAGAATTAAATTATATATTGTTCAATATTTGTGATATTTGGTCATACGATGAAATAAATTTCTTAATATTTTCGTATGATCAATATTGATGTTATTGCCTGTATTATACCAGTACGATCACATGAAATGTGGAGGGATGGTTCCGTTCAACTTTTTGGAGCGCTATATTTTTTCCTATTTTACTGTAGAAGTTGCTTTTTTCCTATTTTGGTAGATATTTCAGGGTGGCTTGTAGGTAGAGATGGGCAAATCGCAATTTTTTCAAAAATCCCGCGCGTGATACGAATCCCGCGTGGGATTGGATTACAAATCTGCGAGTTTATTAATTTTTTGTGTCTAGTAGAAAAAATCAAATTTATTGTTCTACCGGTGGGCATTGTTTCGAATTTCGGCCCAAATTAAGCTTAATTCGGGTCAAAATTCGATATTTCGAGAATTTACGGTGAATATGTTAAAGCAGGCCAGATATTATATTAATGCCAGTCAGATTATATGGTAATGCCGGCCTGATAATTTTATATTAAAAATCCCGCGCGTGCCCATCTCTAGTCACAGGTACGTACGTACGTTGTGAGGGGCAAAATCGATCCCTAAATTCTTTTTTATCTTGTTCTAATTTTAGAGTTAAATGTAGTACAAATTCCAGTGATTCTCGGTAAATTCTTGATATCTAAAGAATAACGGGAATGAAATATTATTCAAAGAATAATATTTTATTGCTGGAATAATTTAGATAGTGAGAATATATCTAGATTCCTAGAATTCCATTATATGTAAAATTAAATATATAAAGAGGAATTCTTCTCCCGTAATAAAGATAACTCAGAGCTGACACAACTCATTAGAGTTCGACTCATAGAGAGTCAATTGTCTAACCTAAACGCTTCGCTCTAATTACCCCCCGATAAGTCAAATTCACATAGAATTAGTAGTCTAATCCTGTGATTCCTTAATAGAGCCTCGTGACGTAGTCTAGAGCTCTGTTTGACCCTAATAACTCGGACCAAGTCTCTCCACGCCTCTTTCTGCCTTCCAGCATTAGGGTTCGGATAGAGGTTAGTAGTTTATAGTGTTGTTTCGATTAGTTTAGTCTTAGTTGATACCGTATCTCCCGATTTTCCCAAGTCCGAACTAGTGATGCCTGACGAAACCTCGTGATGCTAATTATCACGTGCTATTACTTATAAAAAATTAAAATAGATTGTTGATTTTTATATATTGTACCATGTGACAATTAGCATCACATGGTCACGTCAGGCATCACTAGTTCAACGTGCCTGCGTTTCAGATTTCACAACGCGAATATCTCGATACAACATTCACGCATGTTTTACTCAAAAATAAATTAATAATGTAGGAATCACTCAACATTGTGAAAAACAAATTAATACCTTACAACAACAATATAATGCAGAATCGATTAAAGAGAATGAGCATACAACTTTACTTGTCTCTAGTAGAGATGTGCGAATGCAAGTTTTTTTAGCTTTACATTGCATAATGCAACATTATGTCACATGATGCATTATGCAATTCTGTATAATATGCTGTGAACCTCTTAAAACCTATATACAGTGAACAGACTTTGTATATTACTAAGAGGTTGAAAACACAAAATATAGTGGAAACAAACCTGATAGATTAATTTTTTATTGATTTCACTGGCTATGAATTTGATAGAAATAAGTGTCTATAAAGTGATTGTTGATAAAAAAACATGGATCAAAATTACATAATAACTTCTATGTGCATTTTTAAATTTTAGACAATTTGCATCGCATTATGCAGCATTATGCAACATGCAACATTGCTACATAATGCATATACTGCACATCTCTAGTCTCTAGGCGTGAAAGAAGAAATGCAGAAAATTTTATCTTACTAAAATTCACCATGATGAAAATTCTAATATATGTAAAGATTGTTATCGGGCTTCATTACGAAATTTAAGTGGTAATAAATTGATAGACGATTTTATAGAATCAACGCAAACTTTTTGCAGAAACTGTCTATTAGAATTTATTCCATATGAACAATTTACTAATATTAAATAACTTGCTAAAGGAGGGTTCAGTGTAATACATAAAGCAACATGGGCTGATGAACCTATTACTCGTTGGTCTCCTAAGAATCAAAGATACAATCGAAAAGGAAACTATGATGTTGTTCTTAAATGCCTTAATAATTCTGAAAAGATGGATTCTGATTGTTTAAACGAGGATATATGTTAAATTAATTTAAAGTAGGTTAATTATATTTATGTGATTAAATTAAATTTGTTTTTTCTTTTTGTTGAAAAATTTTTTAATTGCAAAAAAAATATTATGGTAATAGCTTTATTCTCAATGTCTTGGCATTACACAAGACCCTAAAACAAAATATTATATAATGGTTATAAAATTTGAGCAAAATAGAGACTTACATTGTTTTATAATAAAGCAAATACTCTATCTTGGTTAGAAAAATTATGCTCAATAGCAGGTGGACTTTTTATTCTACACAAAAGTTTAAAACTTATTCATTGTGATCTTCATAGTGGTAATATTCTTATTGATAAGGCAGGTGTGCCATCAATTGTAGATCTAGAAATAAGCAAACCAATGAATACATTATCACAATCTATAGAGTAATTCCATATGTTGCACCAGAAGTGCTAAAAGGAGGTAAATTCACTAAAGAGTCGGGCATTTATGTTTTGGTATGATTATGTTGGAGGTAATAAATGGCTGTAGACCATTTTCCGATCGTAAACATGATGAATATCTTATTTGGGATATTCTTGATGGTATTCATCCCAAAATTCCATCTGACATTCCACAAGATCTGGTTAATTTGATAGAAAAATATTTGCATTCAGATTCAGCAAAAAGAATGCTATTTATTTAGGATATACTAACGATAATCAACTTAAACTTTATGACCTTATTCGTAAAATCGAAAGAGGAGAAATAAAATTTCCAGAAAATAAAGGCATGAGTACCTCACTAACTAAAATAAATGAGTAGGCAATTTATTCTAGCTATTAAACCCATTAATTAGCAAAGAATTAACTATATGAAGCAAGAAATTAAATATCAGTGGTAAGTGAATATAGAGATAATAGTATTTTTTATGAATAAAATAACATTAACTGTGTGTTTTAAAACATAATCAAATTCCAAATATAATAACCCTAATGCAATAATATAACAATTGAATAATTTATAAATACTGTAGATGATTCCAGAAAAATTGAAATCGATATAAACAAACTATAGATGAAACTTTTACTCTATTGAAATAGATATGTATAATTAGATAGGAAGTTCGGTTATTTAAGTAACTGTTTATCCATTTGCATTTTATCTTGGTAATTTTTTAGACAATTCTTTTGGATATTTATTGTAGAATTATATTTATTTTTAAATTAAAAAATCATAAATATAAATATTTTGTTTCTCAACTTCCTAAATTAATTTCTTTTAAATTAAGAATTATATTGAATCGCAAGATTATATGGAGAGCACAAACATGGAGATATTATAATTTACACCAAGAAAACGAGGTTAATTTCTCAATAAAGATGTGGGTCGTAGAAAATTGTCTGAACTGCACAATGCGCCGCATGAACGACGGTGACGTGTGAACATTGTGATCGTTTAATATGATCTATAAATAATCTATTTGTAGTGATTACAGTAATTAGTAAATAAAGAATCCAACAATTTCGTGGAAAGTTAAATACAAGTCTCTAAGCTAAATAAAATAGCCATGGGTGTCCGGAGGTTTTCTCGATAGCTAATTCTCCAATACAACATTTACCCGAAACATGCTACAATCAAGTGTACTACCTTTGGACCATTGACAAAATTGTGCATTTAGAGAGGGTGTGCATTTATGGAAGGGATTTCATTAAGAGTCCTATATGCTTGGGACTGAATACCAGTGTGCACTTGGAGAGGGTATACATTGCGTGCATTTATGGAGAGTGCACTTGTGGAGGGTTGACTGTATGTCTAAAAAATGAATTACGTATTGGAGTAATTATGTAAATTTTGGCAGACATATTGATTTAAAATGATTGTACTTTAATTATCTCAATATAAAAGGTGAAATCGGTTTTTTTTTTATAGGTTATAATTACAAATGGCATATTCTAAACTACTATTCGGTTCATGATAAATTAGATTGATTTAGAGATGTTAAGTGGTTAGGATGACTTAAAACCGGTTGAACTAATTTGGTTTAGCACCTCTGTTGATAAGTCATAAACTATAAATGTTACATATGAACTATAGTTCGTAATTGATGTACTTAACCGTTAATTAAAAATACCAGCGTTATTTTTTGCCAATAAATGCTTACTGATTAGCTGAAATAGTTTAATAAAATAAAATTCATATTACTGGTTAATGTAGTTAACTGCCAGTTGGTAATTTGTATAGTGAGTTTTTAACGTCACTATGATTGATTAGAAGAAGTGTGCCATTTAGTAAGCAAAGGAGAAAGAAAACAGTTTATTACTATAGGTCCAAGAATATAAATATATGATTTTGTTGTGATATATAACGAAGTGTGTAATAAAATAATAAAATGACATGACCTGATTTGTGCAAAAAAGAAAATATCAAGTAGGTGTGAAATTTTGATAACAAGTTTTCACAAACTCAGATATTTGTTCTTATAGTCGTAGTAGTATCTTATACTTTTCAATGAAAAAATTTTGATAGGCTCTTTTGACTTTATGAAGTAAACGTCAATAAGCAAAAGTTACTGAAAACCCCTGTTTAGCAATAAACGTCAATAAGCAAAAGTGGTTAAGAAAATCTTCTATCATTTTATTTTGAATAGACCACATCTTATCTAAAATAGAGAACACTTAAAGCCAGGTACATCTCGAAATTTAATTGAAAAATTAACATTAAGGTTAGGGTCAGATGAGGACACGTATGGAATATTAGAAGATCTCAATATATAAAATCATCACACAATATTTTTCTTAATGCACCAAAATAGGTTTAAACATCATTTATTGTATTTTCATCCCATTTTTGGGTTTACAATACTCGGTATTTTTCCGTATGGGAGTACTTTGAGAGTAATTGGAATGTTAACGTCCATCATTATTTTGTGGTCATATAAACAATTTATATTTTTTTGGTATCTTGGGCTGATTTATGTAAATAAAATTTTTTACATATTTTATGGTCGTATGCATCGGAAAATCTCGGATGTTCTCATTTGGGTTTGCAATACTCACAAAAATATGTATTTCTCCGTACGTACAAGAATATTTTGAAAGTTATTAAAAATGAGCCGTATTCTAGAACATTTTATCAAACCTTTAAAGTTTCACACAACAAGATGCTGAATATTCTAAATAGGTTCGAATATTCCGTATTGAAATGCAGATTAAACAAATTCTATATAAATTGACAGTATTCAAAAAACGATTTTGTCTGCAATCAAGAATTAGAAATCCATTAAATAAAATGTATAATGAAGAAAATGAAAACCAATACAAATTTACTAAGCATTTATAATAATCCATTTATTGGAGGGACCGTAAACTTTACTCAAGATTATAAAGATCAAGCTAATCATAATTTATCCATAGAAAGAACTGCGTGCTTTATTCAAAATCAAACAAATGATGCAGAAATTGCTCAACATTATGAAGAACAAATTAAAAATTTACAATATAATGCAAAATCAGCTAAAGAGAATGATCATTCAACTTCACTAGTCTCTAGACGTATAAGAAGAAGATGCAGAAAATGTAATCTTACTAAAATTCACTATGATGAAAATTCTAATATATGGGGACCCCCACAGCAAAACAGACCAGTGGGCAAAAAATTTTGGTTTTGTAATTTTATAAAAATTGCATTTCTAATACTTCAATTCTTTGAGAAATTGAGTTTTTTAAAAAAAAAATTTTTTTGCCCACTGGTTTGTATTGATAGATGATTTCATAGAATCAACGCAAACCTTACGTAGTAATTGTAGTAATTATTCGACAATTTATTAATATTAAATATCTTGCTAAAGGAGGGTTTAGTGTAATATATAAAGCAACATGGGTTGATGGACCTATTACTCGTTGGTGTCCTAAGAAACAAAGATACAATCGAAAAGGAAACTATGATGTTGTTCTTAAATACCTTAATAATTCCGAGAAGATGGATTCTGATTGTTTAAATGAAGTAAATATTCAAATTATATTTACAGTACGTTAAACTATATTTATGTGATTAATTAAAAATTTCTTTTTTTTCAGTTGAAGAATTTTTATAATTGCAAAAAAAACACTGATATTTCTGGATCTTCAAATATTCATCAATATCTTGGCATTACACAAGACCCTAGAACAAAAACTTATATAATGGTTATAACATTTGCGCAAAATAGAGACCTACATTATTTTATAAATAAAACAAATGCTTTGTCTTGGTTAGAAAAATTAAAACTATTACGATCAATAGGACTAGGACTTAATAGATTACACTCTTGGTTTAAACTTATTCATCGTGATTTTCATAGTGGTAATATTCTCATTGACGAGACGGGCAAACCAACAATTGCCGATTTAGGAATAAGCAAACCAATGAATAAATCATCAGATAAGAATGCAATCTATGGAGTTATTCCGTATGTTGCACCAGAGGTGTTAAAAGGTTGCAAATTTACCAACAAGTCGGACATCTATAGTTTCGGTATGATTATTTGGAAGGTAATATGTGGGCGTAGACCATTTTCCGATCGTAAACATGATGAATATCTTATTTTAGATATTCTTGATGGTCTTCGTCCCAAAATTCCATCAAACATTCCACAATATTTGGTTAATTTGATAGAGAATTGTTGGCATTCAGATCCGGAACAAAGAAAGAGCCATTATCTTATTTTTGAAGATATTATTCGTAAAACCGAAAGAGGAGAAATATAATTCCCCGAAAATGGAAATAAGAGTACATCATTAACTAACATAAACGAACAAGCAATTTATTCTAGTCGACTATTAAACCCATTAATCAGCGAAGCATTAACTATAAAAAGCAAGAAATTAAATAGTTGTGGTAAGTGAATATAGAAAAAATAACATTTCTTTAAGAATAAAATAACCTTAACGTGTTTTTAATCGTAGTCAAATTTTAAATATGATAACACTAATGCAATAATATAACAATCCATAATTAATAAAATAGATGATTCCAGAGCGATTGAAATTGATATAAACAGACTATAGATGAAAATTTTACTCTTTGGCTATAGGTATGTTATATTAGATAGATAGTTCGGTTTTCAATCTTATTTAAATAACTGCTTATCAAGTTTGTATTTATCTTGGTAAGTTTTAGCACAATTCTTTTAGTTATTTATTGTATAATTATATATTTTTTTATGTATTGTCTAACTTAGAGACTTGCATCATTACATTTACTATCACTACAGTTATATATCATGTTAATTAAAACGATGCACAATGTTCATAGTACATATAGTTCAGACAATTTTCTATGACCACCTCTTACTGACAAATTAACCTCGTTTATTTAGCAAAATAGTCATCGGCATCCGGAATTTCCCTGATAACTATATCTCTGATACAACGTTTACCCAAAACATTCTATAAAACGAAAAATTATTATAAGATTGTAATTTAATTAATTATTTCAAAATAAAAATTAATTATAAACTATGATAGACAAATGACTTATTCTCAACCGTTGATTGACTAATGATTAGTGATGTGTTTTTCAAATTTCATGCGCCTTATGCGTGTGAAATTTTTGGCTTAAATTATGCTAATACGGGCCGGCATTCACAAATTATAAATTAAATAAAAAAAATCTTGCGTATTTACTCGTCACACTACCCATAATACTGTTTAATTAGAAAAGTGTCATTCAGCAAACGAAGTAGAAGGGAAAAAATTATAAGCATAGATTCACGATTAGTATATTCCGAATGATGTTACTTTTAGGTAACCACGACGAATTTTAAATATCTTCAACTCATATACGCATTGAAGGTCTATCAATCAAAATATTTAATAGAAGTTAAATATACAAACCGTGAAATATTACTTAATGATTCTAATAAATTAAATTTTAAATTTTATTTTTTAAAAAATTACGTTTAAATTGATAAAATTATTAACTATGCAAATATTAATACACTATTAATTAATTTAAAATTATAATAATTTACAAAATAATCCCAAATCTAATATTTAATCTAATATACAATTTTTTTAAACGTTTAGAAATATATAGGTCTTTGGCTTGTTTGACTTTTGTTATCACCCGGAGAAGACATTATAGAATTTCTAGAATTGTCATTTATAAGTGATAATCGTAATGATTCTTGTTCACTTTCTCTTTCGCTAGGCATTGATAAAGTATTATAATTTCTTAAATTTTCTTGAGTACTATTTTCATCATTTGCAATTTCCATTACATTATCTCTGATAATTCGACGATCCATACCTCCAGCTGGTAAGAAATTAGGAGTAACAAAATTTGGATCTAAATTATAATATTGATTTGGTGGTGGTGATGGTGGTAATTGTGTATTATAATTTTGGGAATTATAGCCTTGGAAGGTATTTCCATTATAATTTTGGGAATTATAACCTTGGAGGGTATTTCCATTATAATTATAACCTTGAAAGGTATTTCCATTATAACCATAGTAATTACTATCTACGGGGGAAGAACCACCCGAACGACCAGAATAATCACTTGCTACTGGATAAGGACTTCTTGTTGAATATAAACCACTTCCATATGTAGCATCATAACTTTGAATTGAAGCATCTTTGTAACTCGACATCCCTTGTTGAGATGAATGATTAATATTTCTTAAAGCATTTCCAATTCCTGTATTTCCTGTATTTCCTGTATCAAAACCTCTTGAATTTCCACTATTAACGTTTTTATGTTTAAGACGTGAATTTGAACGTAATTTTCTAATTATAAACAATAATGAAACAATTAAAATAATTCCGACGGCTACTGAAACACCAATTATTACATATTTAGTCGTTGTTGAATTATCACCACTAGTGTTTTGAGAAATTGGTGGGGCAAAATTAGTATTGGAAGTAGTATCATTACTAGGATTTTGACTTGGGTCATCAGTAGGACTAGAAGACGTAGTCTGAGATATTGTTGGAGTTATTAAAATTTTATTTACTGTAGTGGCAGGAACAAAGGTCGCTAATGGTATTTTTGCAGTTTCAATAATTGTGGTTCCCGGTAAGGTGGATCTAATAGTAACACGGGCGGTGGCACGGGGGGCTTGAGGATATCTTACTATTAGTTCTCGAGAATGTCTTGGTAAAATAAATCTTCGTGCAAGTCTTTGTAAGAAATTTTCGGCATCGGCTAAATAATTGTAAATATATAGTAAAAATTTTCATATAAATGACAGAAATGAAAAAAAAACAATATACTATATATATATATATTTATATAAACCTACATTGAGTAATTATCATTAACATAAAAATCGTAGTAACAAAAAATATATATTTTTGCACAGAAAAGCGAACCATCATGACAAATTTTTCCTTAGATTGACAATGATAAAAGTCGGTTTAACTTTTACAATTTAGTTAAGAGATGGAACACTTTAGAATTCTGTGGTTAGTTCATATCAAACTTAGAAACCTTTCATTATAATCTATATACTAAACTTTTTTTTTACATGATAGTCCAGAAAACTAACAGTAAAGTTAGCACCATTATCAAATATTTCCGAATTTTGAATAGGCATTTGTTTCACAAATTGTCTTGGAAAAATAGAATTTCTAAAACGTACGATGTAAGACAAACTAAGGAATAAATCATTTAACGTTAAAACTGTACATTTTAAGTAATAAAGGCGTACAGACGTCATTTTTATTTATGCCGTTAATGTTAACGTTAAGGATTTGCAAAAAATTATTTATGGGATTATTCCTTTTTAGTAATTATTTCTGTCTGTAATATACTTCTGCGTCTGTCATGTGAGAGTGCTGTGTGAAGGACAGCAGAAATGCGTTTAGTCTAGACATAATAGTATAAGCAATATTTTGTATTTACTTCTAACATTTATACTTTGTTTATCCTTATTTGGTAACTCTATTTCCGCAGGGAGCATTACTGATACTGCACAGTACAATCGAATTTTGAAAAGTATAGTTTATTATTAAGGGTAGAAGGTATGTAGATCATTTCTATTAATAAACTAGTTACTAAAAATTTTATATTTAATAATAAAGAAAATTTTTATTAATGTAACTATATTAAATTTTTAAATAAAATTGTAGAGGAGGTTTTTCTGATTCTAACAATGGTCGAATCATTAAAATTGG